CAAGTCTGAGCGAGCACATGTGCTCTGTATACTCACCTACCGGCTCCCTGCACTTCCGGGTTCTGTGTGAAGTGCAGGGAGCCGGATCAGTGCTGATCCTGCCCCCTGCTGGAAAAAAAAATAAAGTTTATTTAAAGTCCCCCCCCCCTTACCCATTTTAATAAAAAATTAACCCCTTCCCTGCCAATTGATCACTGACTACAGTGATCAATTGGCAGGGATTACATTTTACTATGATCTGATTTTTTTTTTTAACCCCTGAGGGTTAATTCTTTTTTTTTTAACCCTCAGGGGTTAAATTAATTAAATTAATTAATTAAATTATTTTTAAATTATATATTTAGATAGCTGGGGTAGGTGGAAGTTAGTGGGGAATTGGGGGATTTGGCGTTAGGCTAACTAGGGGTTAACGTTAAAAAAAAGTTTTAAAAGAAACTTTAAAAAGTTAAAAATTAAGCTTAAAAAAATGTTTTAATAACATTTAAGTAAAAAAAACAAAAAAAACACACTTTACCTAGTCCAAATAAAAATTAACCCCTTCCCTGCCAGTCGATCACTGCCTACAGCGATCAAATAGAGATCACAGTATTATACTGTGATCTAATTTTTTTTAACCCCTGAGGATTAACTTTTATTTATTTTTTTTAACCCTCAGGGGTTCAATTTATTTAATTAATTAATTTAAATATTTTATAACTATATATTTTGCTAGCTGGGGTGGGTGGGAGTTATGGGAAAATGGGGAATTTACTGTTAGTGCTGCGTACTGCTAGTTAGGGGTTAACAGTAAATAAAATAGCTTAGAAAAATGTTAAATCTGTAAAAAAGTTTTAAGAAAGTTTAGGAAAGTTTAAAAAAAATTTATAAGCAAAACAAAAGTTTAAAAACTAGTTTTTAAAAGTAAAAAAGTTATAAAAAGTAAAAAAATACATTTTAAAAACGCTCATTACCACTACACCTGGAACAAACTAGAGAAAAAATTATCCCACGCCAAGGTTCAAAATATGCCTTTTGAATTACCCCAGGGTGTATTCTTTAATAAATAGTATGTGTTTGTGGGGAAGTTTCAATAACCAACCGTCTAAACTATTCCAAATTGGAACATGGACACAGCGTAAAACTTCAAAGTTAGAAAAAAACTGAATGGCTGCGTCTCAAATGCGCCCCTTCAACATCCACATATACCTGGCAAAGGTACATACAGGGGTATTGCTGTACTCAGCCGACATAGCTGAGCAACATATGAAGTATTATACAGTCATAGTACACATAAGGTTTGCAAAATATGCTGCGCAAACTCACTTTGTATGTCAAAAAGGCAGAAAAAATGCTTATTACCACTACACTTGGTACAAGCTAGCGGAAAAATGATCCCACGCTAAGGTTCAAAATATGCCTTTTGAAATACCCTGGGATGTCTTCTTTAAGAAATGGTATGGCTTTATGGGGAATTTGGATTATATAGCCTGGTAAAATACTCTAAAATGGGACATAGGCACAGCATAAAAATTCAAAGTTTGAAAAAAACTGGAATGGCTGTGTCCCAAATGTGCCCCTCCGATGTCCACACATACCTGGCAAAGGTACATACAGGGGTATTGCTGTACTCAGCCGACATAGCTGAGCAACATATGAAGTATTATACAGTCGTAGCACACATAAGGTTTGCAAAATATACTGTGCAAACTCACTTTGTATGTCAAAAAGGCAGAAAAAACGCTTATTACCACTACATCTGGTACAAGCTAGCGGAAAAATGATCCCACGCTAAGGTTCAAACTATACCTTTTGAAACACCCTGGGGTGTCTACTTTAAGAAATGGTAGGCCTTTGTGGGGTAGATTGAATTTAAAACCTGCGAAGATGCTTGGAAATTGCACATAGGCCCAGCGTCAAAATTCAAAGTTTGGTAAAAACGGATATGGCTTGGTCTCCTATATGGCACTGTAGCTTCACAAAATAGTGACAAAGACATTCATTGGGGGTGCATTTTTACTCAAAAGACTTAGCTGATCATAATTTGGGAGGTTTGAACTTAGTGGCACATATGAAATATACAAAACGCCCAGCAAAAATGCAATCCGTATGTAAAAAATGCACAAAATAATTTTTTTACCACATACTTTGGCATATATTGGTGAAAAAATGGGGGTATGTTAAGGCACAATATGCACCTTATGAGATACCCTGGAGTGTCTACTTTTACAAATGGTAGGCCTTTGTGGGGGTTTTTTGAACAGTCAAACTGTTATAATACCCCAAATGGAAGCTAAGGCTCATTAAATCCATCTCTCAAAATTCTACTGTGAATACTGTAAAGGACAGGTCTCCTATATGGCACTGTAGCTTCACGAAATAGTGCCAAAGACATTCATATGGGGTGTCATTTTACTCAGAAGACTTAGCTGAGCATAATTTGGGGGTTTGAACTTAGTGGCACATATGAAATATACAAAACGCCCAGCAAAAATGCAATCCGTATGTAAAAAATGCACAACATTTTTTTTTACCACATACTTTGGCATATATTGGTGAAAAAATGGGGGCATGTTAAGGCACAATATGCACCTTATAAGATACCCTGGAGTGTCTACTTTTACAAATGGTAGGCCTTTGTGGGGGTTTTTGAACAGTCAAACTGTTATAATACCCCAAATGGAAGCTAAGGCTCATTAAATTCATCTCTCAAAATTCTACTGTGAATACTGAAAAGGACAGGTATCCTGTATGGCACTGTAACTTCACGAAATAGTGCAAAAGACATACAATGGGGGTGTCATTTTACTCAGCAGATGTAACTGAACACAAAATAAAACTTTGTACAGGAATAGCACACACCAACTTTACAAAATATACACGAGAATTTCTCTGTTATAAGTTTGTGTGCCAAAAACCAAAAAGAACACAATTTTACTCCAATATTTAGCAGAGGTTGGCGGTAATATGGCTACGTAGAAAGTGTCAAAACAACCTTAGGTAAATAGCCCGTGATGTCTACTTTATATAAATATATACTTTTGTGTGGCAATTTTGTTTTCTTTTATGGCTATTAAGCTTACAAGACAAACATACCAAATTCTAAAATCGCTCCACATTAAAATTTTATTTTACTCCTTGTGCTTTGTGACCTGTAACTACCAAAAAAAACTTAAAATCCCAGACACATTATATATTCTGTAAATCAGAACAAATAAATAAATTTATTTTTAATTACTTTCCTTAACCTGCACTAATTATGCACACATTATTATTGCAAAAACTGTAAAAAAAAACAATATTTTTCATTTTTTTTGCATTTTTCTGTATTTTTTTTATAATAAGTAAGCATTTATATATATATATATGTTATATCAAATTAAAGCCCTTTCTGTCCTTTAAAAAACAGTATATAATATGTGTCGGTGCAATAAATGAGAGAGATGCAAATTGCAGTTGAACGCAAACAGCAAGAAAATGCAAAAATTGCTTGTGTCATTAAGCGTAAGTCAAGCTTCTGAAGCTGTGTCCTTAAGGGGTTAATCACATACAGGAGGCTCTTGACTGGTGTATTGTCACCATATGGGCATCTGGAACCTTGGACAAACCCCCCACATATCTTCCCCAATAAAACATGGACACTAGGGTATATGGGTAAAATTGTCCACAGCTTTATTAAATATATAAATAATAACTTAACATAGAAACTTTAGGTCATTGCCCTATGCCTTGCTTCCGTATCCTTCCGTTAGGTATAACATGCAATGACCCCACTATAAATAACACACATATATATATATATACATATATATATATATATATATATATATATATATATATAACATTATACCACCAACATAAACATCAATTAAACTGCCAACAATTTATTATAAATTAACCATGGTAGGAGTATACCCGGATACCCCTACCCCACCAGGTTTTGAGCCACCGACAGGACTCAAAACCTACCAAACATACCAATAACCATTTACATAACCTTCCTAATGGGCAGCCTATTTCCTCTCCTTGAGCTCCCTATCCCGCCGCTGTGACAAAACGGGACAACCCAACTATAACCAAAATCCCAGGGAGGGAGGGTGGGACAAACTCAGCCAGGTAGGCAGGTTAGAAGTGACTCTACCAAGATGTCTGCTTACTTATATAGCCCAGGCCCCTACCCACTATCAACCAATCCCAACTAGCTTCCTCCTATGCCCGCCTCCTAACCCCTGTCAAGGCCCCTTTCCACTAAGCTGCACTTTTGCTACATGGGGCTATATGCAGGGTCTAGCAAGCTATTAACATAGCAGGGGATAAGAAAATCTAAATTAAACAGAACTTGCAATAAATAGAGGATAAACTTTTTATTGTCATAAAAAAAAATTGGGGGGCGGGGCCTGATAGCCGAGCGGGCCAGACGTGCTTACTGAGTGCTCTGGCAAAAAAGAGCTTAATCAAGGATTTTTAAAGGCCTAATTGTGAATCCTGCAGCACCACACGACTGTGGCTATCAGAGGAATCAAGTGGGAGAACAGGGAGACCTGCTTCAGGTCTCTCCGCAGAGATGTACCATACGCCACATTTGAGGCCTAGCATGGAAGATGCCCTCATGGCGGGGAAGGGCAGCCGATTTCCCGACAAGGGGATCGCACTGTACAGCAACAACCGCGAAACCCCGCAACCCCCCCCCCACGGACCGGTGGGGGTCATCCCGGTCCACGCTGGAAAAGTATACTCACCCGCAACAGAGGAATCTTCTGTCAGGATGAAGAGCGGGCAATGTGTTTAAAATGGCCGCCAAACCAGAACTTCCACAGCCTCAAGAGAGCCAGGCAATCCAATCTTGGAGAGAGTGCTTTGAAATGCGGTTTGACCAGATCTGCGAGGCATTCTGGCGGTGCCTAGAACACAGACCTCCTCTACATGCCTTACCTGCTACACAAGTGAAAGCGGCTGAATCAGCAACGGGCACACATGGAAAGGCACGTCTATCGCGCCGCCCGGGCTGACGGAAAAATGTCCAGCGACCGAGACGCCCTGGGACCCAAGCCAGAACTCCGCTGAACGAGAGGATAACCACAACTGGCGGGTCTGCAGCAACAGTAACTCTTGGGCGCAGACAACAACCAGAATCAATTCGGAACGCATCTGGGCCACAGGAAGACTCATGGAGGGACAGCAACAACAAGCTTTCCATGGACACAGCAAGTATCCACTAATGATGCCTGAAACAGGCATAGGCTGACAATCACCCTACAGGCAATCCATAGCCTCCACCTGGCTTAAACTATTTACTTTTATTTACTTTAATTGTTTTATTCACTCTGGCGACATTAATAAACCTGTCCCACATCTTGCCACCCGGTGGACTCTTGCCTCAGTTCATCTTCAAGCCATGATCATATTATGCATTGTCTGTTATTACTATAACTTTACCTACTGTTGTGGCACCAGAAGCCATATTGTTATTACTTAAATATAAAGTCAACTGCTCAAGCAGAAATAGACGAAATACACAGAACTCTTATGTTATGTTTAGTTCAAATGTTCCTACTTCGGATGACTAGACAACAATTTACTCTGCAACATGTTAGCTTACATACTAAACCTGCAATGCTAAGATTGTTAATCTGCACAGATCTCAGGTAGCCCACTGTGACAGAGGTGGTTGTAACATGTGCCTAGCCTGTAAATGTTTCATTACCATATAACCTCTTTTGTAGATACATGCCTGGGAACTTACCTGCATAACACAGAAGCCTACTCTAGCTAGTACCACTAGACACGCCAGTCCAAACTTGTGCCTTATTATCAGAGTGTGACATCCTTCCTTTTGTATCAGCCTGCTCAATACTTGACTTGTAACATGATCTGATTCTCAGCATACAAAGCAACCTACACTAAAGCCAAGGTTCCAACATTAACAATTCCACGTTATATCATGATATCTAAGCAACGTAAATCCATACTGTATATAGCCCCATAAAATTTGCTTATTATATCATGTACCTCTATGTTTAACCGTTTAATGCGCTGGAGGATAGCCTTTGGGGTACCTCACATGCAACTGTTATATCTTTACGCACAACAAAAATAAAGAATTGTAAAAAAAAAACAAAAAAACATTATAATTAGAAATAAAAATGGAAACCATTTGTCAGTTAAAAATCCATTCAATTAGGTAATTTGAATGTGTGGATGATGGCAATCCTTTATCTTTCTTGGCAATATATATATATATATATATATATGTATAATTTTTATTTTAGAGTCATATATTGGATACACAGGGAAGACTCATTAAGAGAAGAAAAATCAGAATAGAAAATCAAAAAGTAATATGAAACACTAAATACAGAGATAAAACATACAAAATTGAAGACATAAACATAAGCAGCAGTAGAGTACAATCATGGGCATCCGTAGTGGGAGGCAATCCCCCCTCCCCCCCTCCCCACCCTGGACTTTTCAGCTTGTTCTGCTATTTTTCATGTGAGATTGAAAATACAGTGCAGGCCAGTAGCTGGCGCTGTGTGTGGAGAGAAACAGGGATAGGAAGCTACATCTTATCCCTGCCTCTCTCTAAGGACTGAATCCGCAGAGGAGCAGCACAGAGTGCAGCCAGCAATTCCCAGACTGCAGAGACAGCCTACAGATCAGGTAAGTGAGGGATGGGGGCAGCCTACAGATCAGGTAAGTGAGGCATGGGTGGGCAGCCTACAGATCAGGTAAGTGAGGGATGGAGAAGACAGCCTACAGATCAGTTAAGTGAAGGATGGGTGGGTAGCCTACAGATCAGGTAAGTGAGGAATGGGGAGGGGAAATAGCCTAAAGATCAGGTAAGTGAGGGATGGGGGGTAGCAGCCTACAGGAAGGGTCAGCAAGGAGCAGGAAGGTAAAGTAAGAGAAGGAGCAGAAAGGAGAAGGGACAGAAATGAGCAGGAAAGGACATCAAGGAGCTGAAAGGGGCAGCAAGGAGTTAGAAGGGACAGCAAGGAGCACAAAGGTAAAGTAGGAGAAGGAGCACAAAGGAACAGAAATGAGCAGAAAAGAGCAGCAAGGAGCAGGAAGGAGCAGCAAGAAGCAGGAAGGGGCAGCAAGGAGCAGGATGGGTCTGCAAGGAGCACGAAGGATCAGCAAGGAGAAGGAAGGGTCAGCAAGGGGCAAGAAGGGTCAGCAAGAAGCAGGAAGGGACAGCAAGGAGCTGCAAGGTAAAGCAGCACAAGGGTAAAGTAGAAGGAGCAGAAAGGGTCAGCAAGGAGCGGCAAAGGGCAGCAAGGTGCAGGAGGGGACAGAAGGAGCACAAAGGTAAAGTAGGAGAAGGAGCAGAAATTAGCAGGAAGGGTCAGCAAGGAGCAGGAAGGGCAGAAGAAGCAGGAAGGGGCAGCAAGGGAAATCAATGAGCGGGAAGGGTCTGCAAGGAGAAGGAAGGGACTGCAAAGAGCAGAAAGGGACACAAGGAGCACAAAGGTAAAGGAGCAGAAAGAATCAGAAGGAGCACTATGGTAAAGTAGGAGAAGGAGCAGAAAGGGACAGAAAGGAGCACACAGATAAAGTAGGAGAAGGAGAAGAAAGGGTCTGCAAGGAGCAGAAAGGGATCAGAAAGAGAAAGGAGCAGCAGGAGCCAAGGAGGAGAGAAGACCGTGTCAGAAGAAAAAGAAGACTGTATCAAATGAAGGAGAAGGAGATTGGAGCAGGAAGGACAAGTGAAGTGAACCCTCCACTTTATTCTGGAAAAAAAAAGGGGACCAAGCATGGATGCTTTACAATTATGCCACCCCCCCTGGAAAAATTCCCATTAGTACAATAGTAGAATTTAATTGATACAAGGTCCCAAAAACAAGTCACAAATAATGGAACCAAACTAGAAAATGGACCAAGCAGGGTGGATGGGAAAATGATTATTAAACAAAAATAAAGGGAGGAATGTGTAAATATTTATGTATAGATAATTGTGTGTGTCCCTGCACTTATTAATATTAACTCCTATCCAGTAACCTGGTACCAAAAAAATAAATAAAAAAAAATAAAAAACAGAAACGTTGACTTTATTTCCTTCCTTCCATTACAAATTCAATTTACTGTAGTTGGTTCTGATGTTATATTAACTATGGAAAGAATTAACTTTTATATAAAATTATTTTTAAGATCACACCTAAATACTTTAAAATAACCTTCATGTTTTTGTTTTTGTTTTTGTTTTATCTTTATATTTATATTTTGCCTGTTTTATGTATATCATTTTGATAGTCAACATTATATCAAGCCAAGCCTCATACATAAAAATGTTAAGATGGAAAAAAGACTTAGGATATTTCTCATTGTTAACATCCATCCAAAAGAAGTCTACAGCTCAGAAAATAACCAACTAAAGAAAATATATGTTGCTGAACTAAACTAGTTTGGAAGCTTGTATTTTTATAGAATTTAGCTGCACTTATTAGAAACCTGGTATCACGATTTCTATTGCAGTGAGCATCAACAACATCTCTTCCATTCCTATCAAATGCACCTGAAAAAAACACTGAGTTGCAGTTAGTGATTACCTAAGTTAGCAATAGCTACAAAAACTACTGTCTGTTATCAGTCTGAGCAAAGCTCGGTTTGCTCACATAAGAATAACATAACAAAGATGGAAAACATATAGTATGAAGATCAAGATAAAAATATGTTATGGTATGCCTTTAGAGATGTTAATGCAACTCATTAGCATGAGGTAGGTTACTGGCTTGCTATTGAGGCTTGGTGTTACTTGTGGAGCACAAACCTAGAAAGTTATGGTGGAAAAAAAATAGTGATTGAAAACCCCTTCCACCTGAAGTCAGTGGATAGTCAATACATTTTGAAACACAGATCTGTTCCCACAGGAATCTCACATTTTCATACTACATGTTTTCTATCTTTGTAATGTTATTCTTTTAAAAAAAATTTGCATTGCATGTTCATATAACAATTGCATGTGAAGGTACTCCAACGGCAATCCTCCAACGCATTATAGTCATGTTGTGGACAAAAATATTAACCCAATTCATATTAATAAAATGCCTATTTACTCAGCATAACCACAATCAGCATTATTCAACCTTATATGTGATTTACCTAAAATGGCCGCTAGAGAGTATCCCTTTGACATCGACTAACACCCTCATTAACAAGATGGCGCTGGAATCTAGGGGAGACCTCCAAGATACCAGTGAAATCACACCCGGTAGGAAGGGCACTAAATGAACCACTTAACACCTAACCAATTATTGATGTATTATTCCATGTTATCTCTGACAATGCATATGATGTAATTTTGCTTTATAAGTTTTTCATTAACCTGAAACCTGTGTCTGGTGTGAATTACTTCAGGAGCATGCATGCATCTTTTTAAATTTGGCCGGGGGCAGATACGCAAGATAATCAATTAATTATCTTGCATATCTGCCCCTAATTTGGCGCCCAACGTGGGGAACCGGGTTTTGCCGGTTCGGACGGACGGAAACCGGGACCGGAGCGGACCTCCGGAAAGTGGGTCAACCGGAGCCTGATCACCTCCTAAATACAGTGGTTTGTCTATATTCTCCTGTTTTGTGTCGGTCTGTCTCCGTGTCCACTTCCGGCTTCCAGAAGGCTACAAGACAGGTAATCTCTTATCCGGTGCCTTTTAAAATGAACCTGTCGATTGTCTATCTGCCTCCTGAGTGTTTGTGTGCGTGTGAAACAGCTGGTGTGTGGTTTATGTTTTATTATTATAACTTGACTGCCTAGCGGGTAGAGAGCGCATCCGCCCGGTGAGGGGCTGGGAATTTATTATATCTTGACTGCCTAGCGGGTAGGGAACGCATCCACCCAGTGAGGGGCTGGGAATTTATTATAGCTTGACTGCCTAGCGGGCAGGGAACGCATCCGCCCGGTGAAGGGCTGGGAACCGCCTGGAGAAAGGCTGGGAATTTTGTCGTACTGTTCAGAGCAGAACAGGGTTTTATTTACTGTTCAGTTGTTATTATGCTCATTGTTATATTGTTCTTTATTATATTATGGTTTTTATTCAATTGTGGCCATAGTGTAGGTATTCTCGCTGTGTGTGTGTGTTGTGTGGCTCATCCTTGATTCCGGATTATGTGCACATCTCTACATATGTGACTCTTGTAAATGTCTTCTCATTAGTCTCTCCACGTTCACCTTTTCCTTCATTCTCTACCTCTTCTGTACTTTTTAC